AGGCTCAGATGAGGGCTCTGCATCAGAGGCAGAGATGGGGCCAGGGCAGCCTGGCAGTCATCAGCTGCCTTTGGGCTTGGACAGCAGTGAGGCGAGGGAGCTTCTGGAACCGGTTCCCAGCCTGCACATGCGCAGAGCTGCCAAAAGAAAGGCACAATTAAGAACTCAGGGCCGATATGGGAGTAAGGCTACAGGTGGACGATGAATGGCCCCTCCCATCAGGATTAAAAGAGAAGCAAAAGGGGAGGGGGCTTTTGCAGGGAACAACTCGCTCGTTCGATCGTTTGTTTGTTCCAGCCTCATGGGGATTTGTCCGTATAACCCAGGCATTCCACGCCAGCAGTGAGTATGGAACTATTTACCAGGCAGCGTTTCCGGATTGATAAAGGTCCAAGCGTATGAGTACACCTTTGCAAGATCGTTTGCCAAGCCGTTGGCTGACTGTGAATGAAATAAATTCACATTAATGTAATAAAAGAGGTTTTTGCCGGGACTCAGAATTGCTATTTGGGAAGGCCTAGAATAGAACAGGTTGTTAAGTGAGTCTGGATTCCCCATTGGCTTTGCTTATCAGCAGGTCACAAAAGATGATCACATGACCCCGGAATACTGCAACCGTCATAAATATGAAAAACGGTGATGAGTCACTTTTTTTTTGGTGCTGTTGTAATTTAGGTCACTAAACGAACTGTTGTAAGTTGAGGATTACCTGTATTACTATTTGGGTGGTTCAACTTATTTTATTTATTTTGTTGTGCATTTCCATCATTATATGCTGTAAAGCACTCAGAATGTTGCAACTAGAATGATATATATGTATGTATAAAATATATGTACGTATGTACGTACGTACATATGTACTTTAAAAATTGACTTTGACTTATCCATGGACTAAGGCTCAGTGTTTTTTTTTTTAATCATAGGCTTTAAGGATGATGTAAATGTTTACAGTTTCCCATCTCTCGCTGAATGCATTTCTGGGAGATAGGTAATTGCCATGTCTGGAAATCACTAAGAGTTTCCATATGATGCAATTTTCAAGCCAAAAGTTATTACCAGAGTGAAGAAGATGAACAATTCTGTTGCTGTCAGAGAATCTAAAGTAAATGAAAATTAAATTTGCTTATGATTTTGGTAATGATTTTGTCATTCAGTTTATCAGCTGAGAGGCTGATACTCTGAGAATGCAGTAATAGAAATGCAGTTTTTATTACAGCGTTTCTTTTTTATATATATAAAGTTTTATTTGGGTTTTCACACACAAAATACAAGTACATCTTTTTTGAAAATAGCATGGTCCCGGGTTGAACTTCTTTATACAGACACAAAACTCAATTTCATGCTCCTTTTTGTATTCTATTCCATATCTTATACTATTTTACATTTTCTATATAGTTTTTCCCCTCTTTTAATTTTCTCAATTTTATTTTAATTATCTCATCTCAATTCAAATAATTATATTTATACTTTTGTCTGTTCTGTTTCAATTTCATATTATCTTTTCTCATTAAACAAATTTTCTCCTGTAGTTACTAATTGGAGTATGACACCTTTATAACTTTTAATTACATCCATTCAACTCTTATTTAAACTTCAATATATACCTTAAGTTTATGACCTTCAATATAATACATAATACATAACTTCCAATCGAATTCTGCTTGGCACATTCTTATAATACACACTATATTCTTTTTTTTAAAAAAAGAAAGATTGTAAATATATGTAATTATAAACCCTCATTCCATTCCAGTTCAGTTCTATCATTAATAATCATTGAAACCATAACATCTTTAACACTTCTTTTCAATTAAATATCATACTTCCTTAAAAACACATATAATCTCCATAATTAATTTTTCCCTTATTTCTCTTCACATATGTTTTATAAATCATTAAATATACCTTTTGTTACATTTATTTATTGACAAGCATTCCACTGAATTACGATAGCTATTTTATCAGACATTTTAATCATACATTGTTTCATATTTTCTAAAATTATTTCTCCTTCTAATATAACCATACTATCTTATGTACCTTTGCAGAATCCCTTTTTCCATTAAGTTTTCACCCATTATCTCTAAATAGGCCCTGTTTCTCTATATTTTGCTTCTGTCCTTTATAACTTCTTTTTCTTTCTTTCTTCCCTCTCATCTTCTCCCTCCCCTTTTTACCCCCTTGTCTCTCTAATTCTCTCTTCTGCATTTCCCTCTTCTGTTGCTTTCTGATTTTATACTTATTTTTCACTCTATTTTTTTTCAGAGTTGTTATTCCCAATCTTAAACTTTCCATTCTCTTTCCCCCCTTTCCTTCCCCCCCCCCCATCTAAGATTACTTGTTCATTAAAGATGGCTTCTTCTTTGTCTCAATTTTCTTGTTCTGGAGGTATTTCTTGTTGTTTCTCATAATTCCAAATCTCCATTTCTAAAAACTGAAATACGAAGCCAAAAGAACCTCTCCCTTCTTGTGCATCTTCTTTGTACTTTTAAAGTTCCATTTTCAGTTCTTCTAAAAGTGGAGCCATTTTAAAAAGTTTTAAACAACCACCGGATTGATTTTAGTCATTCAAAACAATAACCAAGAATCCAGAAATCATCAAACAATCCAGATAGTCCCAAGTTATATCTTCTTATTTCTTTTTTGACTTTCTCTTCCTGGGGTATTTCAGTTAGAATGTATCTTTTGGAAGTCTTGTTGAGATTTTGCTGTAAGTTCTTTTTTAATTCCAAGCAGTGTCCTCCCTTCCAGATCCTACCCTTTTATTCTTTTTCTCTCCTTTCCTGTTTTCAAAAGCTTTTAATTATCCAGAAATCTTTATTATCCCTTTGACTTTTTATTTTCAGCATTAAATGCCTATTGATGTCAAAGTGGAGTTTTTTCCAATTTCTTGCTTAAGTCTCTTAGCTATCAGTATAGGAAAAGGAGAAAACCAAATCTTTTCCCTTTTCTCTCTCCTTCGCAGCTTAAAAATCTTCTTAGGGAACAATGTTATTGTTTCTTAACAGTTTCAATTCCAGGGTACCTTATTTGTTGCTTTTGCTGTTAGACCCGGTCAACCAAAACTTTCTCTTCTTATCTTCCTCCTGCACATTCTTTTCCGGTTGAGTTCTTCTTTGTGGTGGCCATTTCTGACCACCGCTGCAACCGCCTTCAGGAGGAAGTAATGGCCAGCTGGGGAGGAGAGATGTGGCTCTCAGCTGGGGAGGAGAGATGTGCTGGCAGTCTCCCCCCTCTTCACCACCTCTATGGGGGGGCTCAGCCCCGAAACCAGCCAGCTCGGGGCACTCCAGCGGCGAGCACGGATCGAAGCCTCGCAGATACAAGGTTTTGGTCTGTCGCTGAAGAAGCTCAAACCGGAAGTCCCACTACAACATTTCTTAACTTTGGCAGATGTGAAGACTTCAACTCCTAGAATTCTCCAGCCAGCTGCCTGGGGAATTCTGGGGGTTGAAGTCCACACATTTGAAAATTGCCAAGGCTGAGAAAACTTGAATTAGTAGTTCTGCTTTAAAAATGATTCAGGCAACCAGCCAGAGGAGTAGAACTTTTTATTGGAAAATACTGGGGGAGCAATCAGCGTCATATAGGTGGGGAATCATGACAGACAAGATGGCGAATACAGCATTGCAATCCAAGCCTAGCCCATAAAAGGGGCGGGGCTTTGATCCTTTCTACCTGCAGATGTTGCTGAGAGTTACTTAATTTGTTTATATTTTACAATCATTTGGAACGAATTACGATGGTCTCGGAATGGGAGCTTTATGGCCTGCAAAAAACTCTTCTGGCCTTTGTAAAATGTCACACACACACCTTCTGAAATAATGAGACTGTCACCTCGTAAAACATTCCTATGCCTGTTTTGAGTTGCCATAAACAGGGTGGGCAGAAATCTGAAGGAGCAGTTTGGCAGTTTAAAACCAGAAGTACATTCCACGCTTATGTTACAAAGATTATAGCTAGGCTACCGGATCTTCTGCCCTTGAAAATCTGTCAGCCGTGAATTTAATGCCGACATGTTACTCCTAATAAATCTTTTGGATTCTTTTGAAGCTTGGCTCGAGGCTCATGATTTAATTAGGGCAATTGCCGGAACCCTGACAGAGACCACATATTGGGCACTTGGCAACTGGCTTGTCTTTGTGACCAGCTGCAACGCACCTCAGTTGGCTACCATTTGTGACATTTTTGCTGGTTTCTGGCAAAAAAAATGGACCAAGGACCCCTCATTTCAAACCCAAGCTATTGGTTCATTTAATGACCACTGTAAAAAAAGGCAAAAACCCCAGATTTGGTCACGTGGTTGCCTCAATTTATAACTGCAATGACTTACAACTGGATTTCTGATCCCAATTGTGGTCATAAGTTGGGGATTACCTATATTGCCACGCAGAGTAAACTGCTCTCAACTAATTGGACCAGCTGCCACTACTTTTACAATGCTATGCTAATTTCTTGAGAGATTGGTTGTCCCTCACTGCAGAAAATCATCCATTTTCTTCTGTTTTCATATTTTCCCCTAGGCTATTTTGTAAGGAACACAGAAAAGCACTAGAAGGGCAGTTTGGTCTAGTTGTTCAGGCACAGGCTAGAAGTCAAGAGACCCGGGGTTCTAGTCCCACCTTAGCCATGAAAGCCCATAGTGTGACTTTGGCCCAATCACCAGGAGACAGTGAATTCTGGTCCCTCCTTAGGCATGAAAACCAGCTGGCTGACTTTGACCCAATCATCAGGAGACTATGAGTTCTAATCCCGCCTTAGGCCTGAAAGCCGGGTAGATGATTTTGGGCCAATCATCAGGAGATTATGAGTTCTAGTCCCACCTTAGGCATGAAAGCAGGGTAGGTGATTTTGGGTCAGTCCATCTCATATGGTAGTGATTGTGGGGAAAATCATACAAGGGAGCACCCTGTATGCTGCCTTATCTTAGTACAACTTAAGGCAGGATACAAAGCCAATTAAAAAAATGTGTTTGATGAAAGTAAGAGATTTACACTTACCGTTTTCTTCAATATTTTGGCAGCATACTGGACATGAGATCCTTTCTCTTCGCAGCTGTAAACCACAGAGGTGGCGCCCCTAAATCAGACAAGGATCAGAAGTATTGTACCCAAAACTGAGACTGGAATCACACACATGTACACACACAAAGTATTATGACTGATTAATAATAACCTATACGTAATTCCCCAAATAAAGGAAATCACAGATCCATTATAATTGTGCATTTTTAGTATCTGGATTTGGTGCACACGATCTCTGTCTGTTTTTGGCTTGGCCTTTTCTGAGTCCTTCCCAGTGCTGTGTTGGGACTTTCTAACCATCCTTCAATCAGAAGAAAAGGGGTCTCCTTTAGCCCTGGATCAACCTTTAAGCCAAATCAACATGAGCTGAGGGGACCAAGGAAAGAGAACACTTCAAAAACTCTGGAAAGAGTGCAGAAAAGAGCAACAGAAATGATCAGGGAGCTGGAGGCTAAAACATACGAGGAACGGTTGCAGAAATTGGGTATGTCTAGTTTAATGAAAAGAAGGACTCAGGATGACGAGATAGCAATGTTCCAATATTTGAGGAGATACCACAAAGAAGGAAGGGGCCAACCTATTTTCCAAAGCACCTGAAAGAAGAAGCAGTGGATAGAAAGTAATTAAGGAGAGAAGCAATCTGAAACTACGGAGAACTTTCCTGACAGTGAGAACAATCAATCAATGGAATGACTTTCCACTAGAACTTGTGGCTCTCCAACACTGGAAGCTTTTAAGAAGAGACTGGGCAGCCACTTGTCTCGAATGGCACAGGGCAGCGAGGGCTAACCTCTTTGTCGTCGCGTGCCCAAAGCGCACTCAATTGTGGTTGTAAGCCGAGGAATACCTGTTCTGCCCACAAAAGGAAAAAGGGGTGTGGGAAGCATCTCAGAAAGGACCCTCCTTATTTTCCAGAGAATAAAAAGAAAGGAGGGAAGGAATATTTTCAGACTTGAAAAAAATCTGCTAGCATAGTATAACTTTAGAATAAAGCTAGAGCTAGAATTCATTGTTGTGCTTTCTTGTAAGAACTACCACGAAGGACTAACATCAGGGGTGGGTTGCTGGGGGTTCACAGGGGTTCAGGAGAGCCATTAGCTAAGATACTGTGCAGTTTGGAGGACCCCCAAATCCCAGTCCTGGCTGGTGCCATCCACCCTGCCCCTCCCCTCCCAGGAGTCCCCATGCGGCCGGTTTTGGATGCAAGTAAGTGCAGGATGCGCACGGAGTTCAGGAAGGGTGAAAAACCAGCCGCCCGGAAGTTCAAGAAGGCCGGAAATGGGCCCATTTCCGGCTTCCAAAGAGCCTCCGGAGCTCGGGGATGCCGTCTTCACCGTCCTGGAGGCTCGAGGAAAGCCTCTGGAGCCCGGGGAGGGAAAAAACACCCCCACCACCAGCCGTGGTGCAGGAGGCCAACTAGGCCACGCCCTCCATGGCCACGCCCACCCCGCCACCAGACAGACAGCCCTTTGCTAAAATTTTTGAAGCTCACCACTGACATTAACCTCTGTCCTTTTCCTCTCTGCAAAACTTGGGACAGTCCCTTCCTGTCCCAAAACAAAAGGACAGGTAAGAGAAATGATCACTTAATCCCTTTCTCATCTCCTCATGAAGGGAGGTGTTGACAAGATAGGGTCAAAAAAAAGCAAGATGGCAGCCATCACAGTGAAATCAGAACGCTACCTTTTTTTTTTTTTACACACCTTAGTGTACTTTTTGATACAGGTAAATCCTCAACTTACAACCCCAGCTGAGCCCAAAATTTCCATTGCTAAGCAAAACAGTGGCTAAGTGAGTTTTGCCCCCATTTTACCATCTCTCGCCACCGTTATTAATTGAATCACAGCAGATGTCACCAGAGGGATGCCGCAACGGTTGTAAGTGTGAAAAGCAGTCATAAGTCTTTTTTTTTTTCCAATGGCATTGTAGCTTCAAACAGTCACTAAGCAAACAGTGGAATGTCAAGGACTTGGTGCATATTGCTTGTTGACGGGAAGGAGATCTGTCCCTGGAATTCTTAGAATTCCAATTTCTTTTTACTAAACCTTGCTAAGGGGACTGTGAGGTTTTGCCTGGAAAACCAATTACTTTGGGTTTCATGCAGAGGCCGAGTCAGATTTGCACTTTTGGGAAATCAAATCCAAACGGCTGCACAGCTTCGGGGCACAGAAAACCATATTAATTGTGTACCTAAGTGGTGTTTGCTAGATCCAAGCATCCTGCAGTACAGAAGGACGAAATCCCCCTTCTGTTTCTCCACAGAAGGATTTTTTTTTTTCTTCTCCCTTTGGCTTCCGTTGGTAAAACTCTTTTAATTAAAATTGAAACGCTCAAGAGCTTTAAACGGTTAGGCGGCTTTCAAGACCAAAGGAACTACTACTATAGGGCTGTAACCTCTGTCAAGTACAGCAGTTCCCAGAGAAATAAACCTGGTAAATTTATATCTACACAGACGTGAGATATCCCCGATGGGATATCCAGGATGACCTGATGGAAAAAAAACTCTCAGAGGCCCCAAAATATCTTTTATATTTGTGGAGCAAAATTTCCTTTAATGCATGTCCCAGCAGGATACAGTACATGAAGCAGACACAAGTCATTTCTGCCCCTGTGTAGTGTTTTTTTCCCCCCCTGTATTCCACTAGAAAATGGTGCAATTGGATTAGCTTTAAAAATTTCCACATAGAGGTCGTCCTCGACTTACGACCACAACTGAGCCTCAAATTTCTGTTGCTAAGTGAGGCGATTGTTAAGTGAGTTTAGCCCCATTTACGATGTTTCTGGCCACAGTTGTTAAGGGAATCACTGCACTTGTTAAGTCAGTAACACAGTTGTTAAGTGAATCTGGCTTTCCCATTGATTTTGCTTGTCCGAAGGTTGCAAAAGGGGATCACGTGAACTGGGATGGCGCAGTGGTGAGAATGCAGCATTGCAGACTGACTCTGCTCGCTCCCAGGAGTTCGATCTTGACTGGCTCAAGGTTGACTCAGCCTTCCATCCTTCTGAGGTCGATAAAATGAGGACCCGGATTGTTGCTGAGGAACAGGTTTAGGGAAATAAACCCTAAAATCATGATAGCGGACCTATGGCACATGTGTCAGAGGTGGCATGCAGAGCCCTCTCAGCACTCAAAATGGCCTCAAAATTGCCCAAAAGGCTGGTTGTTTTTTGGACCATTTTTGGGCCCTTTGCAGGCTGTTTTTGGTCATTTTCAGGCCATTTTTCAGGCCAAAATTGGCCAAAAAATGGTCTGAAAATGCCCCCCAAAAGGCCTGGAAAACAGCCCTCAAAATGTTTTCCAAGCTGTTTTCCGGGCCATTTTGGGGGCATTTTCAGGCCATTTTCTGGGGTATTTTCAGGCCATTTTTGGCCCGAGAAATGGCCTGAAAAAGGCCTGAAAACAGCCCCCCAAACGGCCCAAAACAGCTGAAAAACAGGCATGCGCACACCGGCCAGCTGGTATTCAGTTTTCCAGCGCTCTGGCACATGCTTGCATGCGCCTTCCGCTTTGGGCACTTGGTGACAAAAAGGTTTGCCAACATTTATGTCCAGAATGTGACAGGTCTGTAGTTATTTACTCAGCCTTCCTTCTGACTATGCAACATACAGTTTCTCAATGCAAGACAGGCTGGTTGCCATTGTTTTTTCTACAGACTTAACTATCCATTGAAATCTGGACCTGTCCTGTTTGGTTGTTGGACCAAACCAGACAGTTATTACAGAACTACCAATATAATCCGGACAGAATATTGGACCTTAACACAATTGAGTGGGTTCAGAGGTATTTCTCGAGACGAGTACTCCATTCCTCCACTCACAATAGATTTCCCTATGCCTCCAGGCTCAAAATTTTGGGCCTGGACAACCCAGAACTGTGCCGCCCGCGGTCCGATCTAAGCATAGTTCACAAAATTGTCTGGTACAACTTCTTACCTGTCAACGACTTCTTCAACTTCAACCAAAATAATACACTGACAAACAATCGATACACACTCAAAGTAAACTGCTCCAAACTCGATTGCAGAAAATACGACTTCCGCAACAGAGTGGTCAACACCTGGAGCGCCCTACCAGACTCCGTTGTTGCAGCCTCAACCCTGCACAGCTTCAACCTCAAACTGTCTACCGTGGACCTCACCCCATTCTTTAGAGGTCCTTAAAGGGGGCGTGCATAAGCGCACCAGCATGCCTACCGTCCCTGTCTTACTGTCCCCATTTATTTGTATTTACTTCCTTTGTTCTTGTATATGTTCATACTTATCCTTGTTATCTTGTGCATGTTTGACAAATAAATAAATAAAATAAATAAATAAGCCTACATGCTATTGCTACAGTAGTTGAAATTACAACTCATCTCTTCTGCTTCTGAAATAAGATCAGGTAAATTAGAATTCCAAATTTCAGAAGCACCCCTTCTCCATACCCCTCATCCTGCACAGGATCCCCGTTGCACGAATATACCTATACATGTATTTTTATTCTGTCTGAAAGAGTCCCTCAATTCAAAGGTGGCTCTTGGTAATTTAGCAGAGATAAACTTGAGTTTTCTTGGCAACAGGTAAAAGGCGCGTGGCTCTCGCATGCACGAGGGATGTTTGCTCAACGTGAATCTTATTTTGCTCTTTTCCCCACCAACTGATCAGATCTGACTCAGCTCTGTTTTTTGAGATTAGCTAGGACTGGCTAGCTGGGTGCTTTCACTGACTCGGATTGTAAGCAGGACATAAATCAAGTCTGTAAAGAAACCCCAAATCTTCCTTATGGATTTATACAGCCGTCCATCTCACTGATGTGCCTCTGGGCAGCGCACACATTTAAAATAACACAAACCAAAAACAATCAAAACAACGAGAACAAAGCCATTAAAACAATTAAAAGCTATAAATAGAAAACAGAAAACAAAGAACCAAACAAAGAACAGGAGAATGTATTCACTCAGAATCTCACCATCTATACAGCCTTCTCACAAGGTCCATACAGGTGGTCCTTGACTTACGACAAGACTTAGCAACCCTACAGAGTTACAACCGGGTTCCCTGGGAGTACTTACAACCC